GGGTGTTTAGAAAGGAAAGAGCTGGAAGTTAATGCAGGAGAGCTCCTCTCTCCTGCACTGTCCCCTCCACCACTGTCCCCTGACTCATCCCCAGCCCTTCCTGTCCTTGGAGAGGTGGAGATGAGCAGGAGAGCTCAAAATCTTCCTTTGGGTGAAAGGGAAACGCAGCCAAGAATTTATTATTGATACAACCAAAGTTTAAACAGTCAAGAGGAGTTTTTAGCTGGGACTTGGACTGTGGAAAACTGGCCCTCACAGCTGTCTGTGCTTGGCCTTGGAATGAAAAACAGTGGGAAAGTGACTTAATTGAGTCAAACCAAAGCCGGGGGAAGGTTGAAATGAGCTCAGGAGCAGCAAACCCCTCCAGCAAACACCAACAGCCTCTTTCCAGAGGCCTGGAAAACTCAGTGCACAGCCCAGGGTCAGACACTGGGACTGGCACCAGCAGCCACAGCCTGTGATGGATCCATGATGGATCTGTGATGGATCCACAGCCCCCATCAGGGCTGCTGAGGGGAATGAGAGCAGCCAAAGGTGTGGTGGGAGTTGATGGGTGCTTTTATTACACAAGGTGTGACATCCTCCCTCCACCTCTCTGGAACAGGGATAGATGAGGGTTTAACTCCATCCTTTTAACCATTCCTTGGCTGTTTCTCCTGATGGTTTCCCCACCACCCCCGTCTTCCCCATTTTTCCATCCGTGCCAGGCGTGTTTCTGTGGAGTCTCAGTACATTGTGCCAACCCAGTGTGGGGAGCATCCCCGGGGCAGGGGCTGCTGGGGGCATCAGTCCAGCTGGGACAGGGCAGGGAAGCCACTGGTGTTCCTTGGGAGCAAAGCCCATGGCACTGGGGACATGCATTCCTTGTGGGGGAGCAGCTTGGTCAATGGATTCACGGAGTGATGATGGATCCAGCCCCTGCCTCCCCAGGGTGATGCTGGATCCATGGGAAGATGATGGATTCATTCCTTGCTATGTCCATGGGGAGGTGATGGGTCTGTCCCCTGCCTCCACAGGGTGATGATGGATCCATGGGGGGGTGATGGGTCCATTCTCTGCCTCCACAGGGAGATGATGGATCCACAGGGAGATGATGGGTCCATCCCCTGTGTCCATGGGGTGACGCAGGACAGCTGCCAGCTCCGTTAGCAGCTCCCTCCCGTGCACCAGAAGATCCCCACGGCCATGCCCAGCAAGCAGAGGGTCCCCAGGATCAGCCCCAGCACCAGCGGAGCGCGCGACCGCACGCTGAGTTTTCCTGCAAGAGCCGAGAAGGACGGAGGTGATGACTGGGGTCACCCCACCACGTCCCTGTCCCCATCCCAGGCCCCAGCCCAGACCTGTCCCGGCGCTCTGAGCCTGCAGGATGCTGACACAGGTGGTGTTGAGGAAGTGCTGCAGGTGCTGTGTGGTTATGGGGTACTTCATCAGCTCCGTCTTGGCAAAGGTGGCCACCTGGTGCTGGCCGGGCCAGCGCCGCTGCCAGGTGGCGTTGGGGACGTGGAAGCTCAGGAAGGCCGTCCCGTTGAGGGTCACCTCGTAGAAGCTGTGGGATGTGCCGTTGGGGAAGAGGCGGCAGCCGAGGTGGCAGCAGAGCCTCTGGGTGTCTGTGGGGACAGAGGGACAGACAGGGTCACCAGGTCCCACCCAAATCATGCCCTGAGCTCTCACAGCCTCAGCCCTGCAACAGCCGACCCACCCACGGCTCTGCTCCCCCTCAGTGGCTTTTCCAGCGGCCAGGATTATTTTCCCTCCCTTATCTCCCAACAGCACAGATCCAGTTTTATGGAGATGAGAGGGTTTCGGGGCACTCATTGCTCTCCTGGATGGATGCACCCAGGGAGCAGGGGGACACCAGGACGTGGGGGTGTCACACCAGAGACCCCGTGGTGACACAGGGCTCCCCAAGGAGCAGGTACAGAAATGTGGAGCTGGGGAAGAACAGGTTTGGGGGTAAGGAAGAAAAGGAAGGTGAAGCACAGCCTGGGCAGGAGCAGCAGAGGAAACTGGGCTTGTGGAGAGGTGCAGGAGCACGAAACTGTCACCAGCAGCATCCCATTGCTCCTGGAAAGCTGTGGGATGCTGGCAGGGAGCAGGCAGGGAGTAGGTAGAAAGCAAGCAGGTCACAGACAGGTTGCAGGTAGGATACAGGTGGGATGAAGACAAGAAGCAGGCAGTAAGAAGGCAGGATGCAGGCAGGGTGCAGGTGGGATACAGGTGGGATACAGGCAGGGTGTCTACACCTCACTATCCCCCCCAGCTGCAGTCCCAGCCCTTTTTCTGAGGAGCAGAAGCAGGTTGAGCATCACCCCGTTCCCAGGGCAGGCTCTGGATGAGAAATTCCCGGCTCCACAGAAGGGCTCCCTTTGCCCACAGAGACGTTTTGCACATGGCCATGTCCCCACCCCTCTGCCCACCTGTCCCTGCAGAGCCATCCCCGTGCCCTGGCAGCACAGGGGGGTCTCCCCCACCCCAGTGCCCCCCGGGCACCACTCACAGTCCATGGGTCTCTCCTTGTTGAAGAGCTTCACCAGGTTGCTGAAGTTGCTGAGGTAGGTGGTCACGTCCTTCTGCCGCTGGGCCCAGGCGTCGGGCGGCTCCAGCGGCAGCACCTGGGTGACATTGTGCCCCTCCAGCACGTGGCTGAGCCGCCCGTCCAGGCTGGCGTTCCCCCAGAAGAGGGAATTGCCTTCGAAGACGCGGGTGTAGTGCACCATGGTGAAGGTGAGCGGGGCTGCGGGACACGTGGGACATCACGCACCGCCCCGTCCCCCCGCGAGCCCCGCGCCCACCCCCTGCCAGCCCCCGTGTCCCCCCACGCCAACCCCGAGCTCTCGGCCCCCGTTCCCCTGCCTTACCCGCCTGCTCCGCCCCGCAGCCCAGGGCCCCGCAGAGCAGCAGCAGCCGCAGCATCGCGGGGACGGGCACGGGGATGGGGACGGCACGGTGGCCCCGAGGCTGGCCCGGTCGGGAGTTCGGCGTGGGGACAGCGGTGGGCACGGAATGGTGGCCCCGGGCTGGCCCATGGGATGTTAAGCCGGCCGGGGAGGTGGGGCTGTGGGAGGAGGAGAGCGGGACTCCAGCCAGGTCTCTCCCATTTCCTCACCCGACCCACCCGCACCCCTTCCCTGCCGGACATGCCAGGCACTGCAGCGCCCCTGGATGCGGGCTGAGGCTCCAAATCACCTCGGGACAGAGGGAATTGGGCGAGCAGCCAGTGCCTGCCTCAGTTTCCCCATCCCTTGGCTGGGCAGGGTCCATCCTGCTCCCCTGGAGACCAGTGGGGACACGGTGATGGGGACCATTCCCAGGGAATGGGGGAGGGATGGAGGGAGCAGCCTCACACCCACCAGGCCTGGAGTGGGCATCCAGCACCAGGACCCCCCTCCCTGGAAGGGGGTGACACTCGGGGGAGCTAAGCTGAGGGGTGGGAATTCCCTCACACAGAAGAATTCCTTCCCAGTATCCCATCTAACCCTGCCCTCTGGCAGTGGGAAGCCATTCCCCCTTCTCCTCTCACTCCAGGCCCTTGGAAATAGTCTCTCTCCATCTTTGTTGCAGCTCCTTCAGCCACTGCAAGGCCACAATCAGGTTACCCCAGAGCTTCTCCTCTCCAGGCTGAACAATCCCAACTCTCCAGCCTTTCCTCCCAGCAGAGCTGCTCCAGCTCTCTGACCACCCTGGGGCCTCCTCTGGACTCTCTCCAGCAGCTCCATGTCCTCCCTGTGCTGTTCCCCAGGGCTGGAGCAGCTCTGCAGGGGGGTCTCCCCTGAGGGGCAGAGGGGCACAATCCCCCCCTGCCCTGCTGCCCACACTGGGGGATCAGCCCAGGGCACGGGGGGTTCTGGGCCGGGCCATGTCCAGCCTCTCCCCCACCAGCCCCCCGGGCCCTTCTCCCAGGGCTGCTCCATCTGCTCATCCCCAGCCTGGAGTGATCCCGGGGCTGCCCCGACCCAGGTGCAGCACCAGCCCTTGGCCTTGTTAAACCTCAGCAGATTCCCAAGGGCCACTTCTGGAGCCTGTCCAGGTCCCTCTGGATGGCCCCGTCCCCCAGCTGTGTCCCTGCACCCTCAGCTCGGGGTCACCTGCAAAGCTGCTGAGGGTGCCCCTGATCCATCCTCTGCCTCATTAATGCACAGATTAAATAACACTGGTCCCAGCACAGACCCTCAGGGCACCACTGCCCACTGGTGTCCACTGGGACCCTGAGCCACTGACCACGACCCTCTGGATGGGACCATCCAACCACTTCCTTGTCCATCTGACAGTCCATCCATTGAATCCTTCTCTCCCCAGTGTAGAGAGAAGGATGTTGTGGGGGACCATGTCCAGGGCTTCACAGCAATCCAGATAAATGACTTTATAATCCATATAAATGTCCTCTGTAGCCCCTCCCTTGTCCACTAATGGAGTCACTCCACCACAGAAGACCACCGGGTTGGTCAGGCAGGACCTGCCCCTGGTGAAGCCATGCTGGCTGTCCCGAATCCCTGTCCTCCCTGTGTCTCAGCAGAGCTTCCAGGAGGGTCGGTTCCATGACCTTCCCAGGCACAGAGGCTGACGGGGCGGTAGCCCCCAGGCTCCTCCTTTCCACCCTTTTGAAAGACGGGAACAACGTTTCCCTTTTCCCAGTCACCTGGGACTTCACCTGCCACGGCTTTTCCAATAACCTGGAGCGTGGCTTGGCAGCTCCGTCCGCCAGTTCCCTCAGGACTCTGGGACGCATCTCACACAGGATGGGGTGGCGTGGGATGTCCCCACGGTCCGGCACGACATGGCGCACTATGTCGCGATACGGCGCGACGTGTCACCCTGCCTGCCGCTCCGGGCGACGGGGCGTGTCCCGGGGCGTGTCCCTGCTCCGTGCGTGTCCCGGGGCGTGTTCCTGGGCGTGTCCCCGTTCCCTGCGTGTCCCCCATCGGGGCGTGTCCGCGGTCCCTGCGTGTCCCGGGGCGTGTCCCGGGGCGTGTCCGCGGTCCGTGCGTGTCCCGGGGCGGGGCGGTGGCGGCGTTGCCGGTGCCGGGAGCGCAGCGATGGCGGCGGCGGAGCTGGAGCGGCTGCGGATGGCGGGGGCCGGGATGGCCATCGCCGTTCTCACCAGCGGCGGCGACGCGCAAGGTGCGCCCGGCGGGGCGGGGGGCTCGGCCCGGGAGGGGAGGCAGCCGGGCCTCCCCGCGTGTCCGTGCCCGTGTCCGTGCCCGTGTCCCTGTCCGTGACCGCCCGGGGCCAGAGTCCGCGGGACCGCGGCCCGCGCTGCGCCCCAGGGCGAGGGGATGGGACACCCCCGTCCCGTGTGCCCCCACGGGGGAGGGTCGGTGCGTCCCGCCCGCGGCGCTTCCCCGTCCCCATCACCCCCGGGACAAGGCACGGGCCCGCGGGGGGAGCCTCACGGAGGGGAGGGTGTCTTTTCCCAGATAAGCAACTCGGTCCCGGCCAGTTGCTCATCCGCAGCTCCCACCCGTGCGTGGAGTTTGCCCGGTCTCAGCCCACGTGGGTCCAACTCACTCTAGGGGACACCTCAGGGTCACCTACAGGATCTGATCTCCTCTGGGGCTCAGGGTCCCACGAGGTTCACCCTAGTTGAGGGGACCCCTCAGGGTCACCTACAGGATCCCACCCCCCGTGGGGCACAGGATCCCACGGAACGTCCCGGGTCACTTTTCGCTTTTCCAGGGATGAACGCCGCCGTCCGCGCCGTCACCCGCATGGGGATATACGTGGGAGCCAAGGTGTTCCTCATCTATGAGGTTGGGATACCCCCCTGCTCCCTGTCACGTGTGGGGGGCACCCACCCCCCAGTGCCAGGGTACCCCTCACCTCCACCCTGCTCTTCTCCGCAGGGCTACGAGGGGCTGGTGGAGGGGGGCGACAACATCAAGCAAGCCAACTGGCTCAGCGTCTCCAACATCATCCAGCTGGTGAGGGTCACCGGTGGGGCCGTGGGACCCCCCGATCCCAGCTCCCCAAGTCCGGGTGACGAGCCGTGTGCCCCCGTTGTGCCCCCAGGGCGGGACGGTGATCGGCAGCGCCCGCTGCAAGGCCTTCACGACGCGCGCGGGGCGGCTCCGCGCCGCCCGCAACCTGGTGGAGCACGGCATCACCAACCTGTGTGTCATCGGCGGCGACGGCAGCCTCACCGGCGCTGACATCTTCCGCTCTGAGTGGGCCGGGCTGCTGGACGAGCTGGTCCGAGACGGTGGGTGAACCCCCTCCCAAAGCCCCCCGGGTGGGCACAGAAGGCGTCGGAGCAGGGCTGAGATCCGGAGGTTCACCCCATCACTGTGAGCCCGAGGAGGGCTGGGCTCCCACACTGCTCCACTGGTGACGGGGGGGATGTGAGCGCCCCAGAATAACCGGTGTGGTGGCTGTGACCCCCCCCAGGGCAGATCAGCGAGGAGGTGGCGCGGCAGAACTGCCGCCTGAACATCGTGGGGCTGGTGGGCTCCATCGACAACGACTTCTGCGGCACCGACATGACCATCGGCACCGACTCGGCCCTGCACCGCATCATGGAGGTCATCGACGCCATCACCACCACGGCGCAGAGGTGAGCGGGGCGGGCGCTGGGGGGGTGCTGGGCCTCCCCACGGCATCGCACCCACTCCTTGTCCTCCCACCCGTGTCCTTGCAGCCACCAGCGGACGTTCGTGCTGGAGGTGATGGGTCGCCACTGTGGGTAAGGCCCCGAGGGAAGCCCGTCGGTGGGATGGGATGTGGGATGTCATGTCTCGGGGCTGCCACCACCGTGTCCCCCCAGGTACCTGGCGCTGGTGTCCGGCCTGGCCTCAGGCGCCGACTGGCTCTTCATCCCTGAATCCCCTCCGGAGGACGGCTGGGAGGACCTCATGTGCGAGAGGCTGGGGGAGGTGAGGGGGGTCTCCTACAGTCCTGTCTCCTGTTTCCCCACGGAGATTCCCCTCAGGAGCCCGGGCTGAGCCTCAGGCCAGTGCCCGGCCCCCGCGAAGCTTCGGGAGCCGCCGCCATTGTCCTGTGACCCGGGGCACTCAGCCGAGCGCAAATCCAGCCCTCGCGTGCCAGGGGCAGCGCTGGCGGGGGCTCGGCTGCCCGTGACCTGAGCCACCCCTGGGGCAGCGGCCGCCGGCAGGGAGGGGAGGGTGCTGGGACACGGCCACCGGGAGTTTCAGTTCTCTCCCCTCGTGCCAGACACGCAGCCGAGGGTCGCGGCTCAACATCATCATCATCGCCGAGGGCGCCATCGACCGCAGCGGGAAACCCATCTCCTCCAACTACGTGAAGGACGTGAGTGCCCTCTCTGCCACCTGCTCCGGTGCCCACAGGGACCAGTGGGTCCCTGGCGGGTCCTCGGCGTGACACCCCCTCTCCCCTGCAGCTGGTGGTGCAGCGCTTGGGCTTCGACACGCGCGTCACCGTCCTCGGCCACGTGCAGCGCGGAGGGACCCCCTCGGCCTTCGACCGCGTGCTGGTAGGTCCCAGGGGAGGACAGGGAGAGGGGGAGCCCCGCTCCTGCCACCCCTCTGCCCATGGAAAAGGACTTACCAGCTGGGATGAAGCTTGATGGGCTCAGCCCTGCTGTGCCAGGCAGAGCCATGTGCCCGTTCCCCGTCGTTTCCTGCGGAATTCATGGGGTTTTGAGTAAAACCGTCACCTCTCCAGCTGTGAATCGGCAGCCGCGTGGTTTCCAAGCCTTGTGGGAGCATCCCCAGCATCCCACCCAGCTGGTCCGGTGGCCCCGGTGTCACGGGTGCCCCTGTCCCTTTGCAGAGCAGCAAGATGGGAATGGAGGCGGTGATGGCGCTGCTGGAGGCCACGCCGGACACGCCGGCGTGTGTGGTGAGCCTCTCCGGGAACCAGTCCGTGCGGCTGCCACTCATGGAGTGTGTCCAGGTGGTGAGTACCGGGGCATCGGCGGGGGGGTCCCACTCCCCACCCCACAGGTGTGGGTGTCACAGTGCTGTGTCTCTGCCTTGCCCCCAAGACGAAGGATGTGCAGAAGGCCATGGATGAGAAGAGGTTTGAGGAGGCCATCCAGCTCCGTGGGGGGTGAGCAGCAGGGATTGGGGATCGAGGCACACATCCCTACGGGATGGGGGCTTCTCCTTGTTGGGAAACCGCTGGCTCCCACAGCCAGAAGGGTGTTCCCCCCACCCCACCCCAGGGTCCAAACATGCCTTGGGGACACCTCACCGTGTCCTTGCAGGAGCTTCGAGAACAACTGGAACATCTACAAGCTGCTGGCGCACCAGAAGCCGGCGCAGGAGAAGGTGAGGGGAGATGAGGAGCATCAGGGAACACCACCCCCAACCTTGGGGACACGCATGGATGTGCTGTGCCCCTCCCTGTCCCCGCAGAGCCCCTTCAGCCTGGCCATCCTGAACGTGGGAGCCCCCGCCGCCGGCATGAACGCGGCCGTGCGCTCGGCCGTGCGCATCAGCATCTGCCAGGGACACACCATCTACGTGGTGAGCGACGGCTTCGAGGGCCTGGCCAAGGGGCAGGTAAGGGGTGTCCCAGGGGGTGGGTTTGGGCTTGGACGGGGGTGACGGGGTGCCCTTCCCACCCCTAATCCCGCCCGCAGATCCGCGAGGTGGGCTGGCACGACGTGGCAGGATGGCTGGGACGCGGCGGGTCCATGCTGGGCACCAAGCGGTGAGTGCAGCCCTGGGAGACGGGGGGTGCAGGGGAGGTGACACCCCTGTCCTCACCACCATGGTCTCTCCTCCCCCCCCCCACCACAGGACACTGCCCAAGACCTGCATGGAAAAGATCGTGGAGAACGTGCGGAAGTTCAACATCCAGGGGCTGCTGGTCATCGGCGGGTTCGAGGTGCGGGGGGACCCTCAGCCCTGGCTCCTGGGGGCCAGGGTGGGCTGTGGGCATCCCAAAGGAATGCTTTTGGGAGGTGGGGCTGGCTGCGGGGCTGGCATCTCCCCGTCCCTGCTCACAGGCGTACGAGGGGGTGCTGCAGCTGGTGGAGGCGCGCGGGCAGTACGAGGAGCTCTGCATCGTCATGTGCGTCATCCCCGCCACCATCAGCAACAACGTGCCCGGCACCGACTTCAGCCTGGGCTCCGACACGGCCGTCAACGCGGCCATGGAGGTGAGGGCCGGGCTGGGGGGGCAGCTCACCTCCCAGCCCTGGGAGGCAGAGGTGGGTTTTCCCAGTGTGACCCCCCCCCTCCTCCTGGTGCAGAGCTGTGACCGCATCAAGCAGTCGGCCTCGGGCACCAAGCGCCGCGTGTTCATTGTGGAGACCATGGGCGGCTACTGCGGGTACCTGTCGACCGTCACCGGCATTGCCGTGGGCGCCGACGCCGCCTACGTCTACGAAGACCCCTTCACCATCCACGACCTGAAGGTGAGCGGCTTTCTGGCTGAAAGAAGAAGGAAAATCGGGGAAGGGAGGGCTGCAGGGCAGGGCAGGAGCTGGAGGAGCATGGCTAAGGGTTGATGGTGGTGGTGCCTCGGTCCGGCAGAGGGGACCGGAGCGACCTGGGACAGCATCCTGGTGTTCATCTTGCAGGCCAATGTGGAGCACCTGACTGACAAAATGAAGACAGATATCCAGAGAGGGCTGGTGCTGCGGTGAGTTGGGGACCTTTGGGGACAGTCACTGCAAAGCCCAGCCCCATGGCGGGGAGCGAGGCCGGAGCTGAGTCCTTCCCGTGGCCAGAGAGGGCCCCTGGGCACTGTGAGGTTTGACACGGTGGGCACGCTCGGCCGTGGGGACAGTCCTGCATGGGATGCCTCCACAGCTGTCCCCACCCTGGCCCCAGGGTCCCCCTGGGCACACAGGCCAGGGCTCTGGTCCTCAGGGAGAACAAAGCAGCCAAGAAAGGTGTTGTGGGGAGCACAGGGAATGGCAGAGTAAGGAGCAGCCCCCCAACCCGTTCCCTGTGACCCCCAGCAATGAAAAGTGCCACGAACACTACACCACCGAGTTCCTCTACAATCTCTACTCCTCCGAGGGCAAAGGCATCTTTGACTGCAGGATTAACGTCCTGGGCCACCTCCAGCAGGTACAGGGGACAGGGCAATGTGGACCACCGCTGTCCCCGTGGGCTGGACAGGCGTGACAGCCCCATTTCTCTGTCCCCAGGGGGGAGCCCCGACCCCCTTTGACCGCAACTATGGGACCAAGCTGGGAGTGAAGGCGGTGCTGTGGATGTCGGAGAAGCTGCAGCAAGTCTACAGCAAGGGTGAGCCAAGGGCCGGGGGTCCCATGGTGGGCGTGGGGGAGGCTGGTGGCTGCTGCTCCGGGCTCAGCTCCCGGCGAGGTGGCCAAGGTCGGCCATGTCCCCTCCCAGGGCGTGTGTTTGCCAACTCGGGGGACTCTGCCTGCGTGATCGGGCTCCGGAAGAAGGTGGTGGCCTTCAGCCCTGTGACAGAGCTCAAGAAAGTCACGGATTTTGAGTAAGTGCCCGTGCCCCGGCGGTTCACCAGCTCCCAGGGGGACATTCCCGGGCTGTCCGCTCTAGAACCGTGTCCCCCCGTGCAGGCACAGGCTGCCCCAGGAGCAGTGGTGGCTGAACCTGCGGCTGATGCTGAAGATGCTCGCCAACTACCAGATCAGCCTCACCGAGTACATCTCAGGGCAGATGGAGCACGTCACCCGCCGCACCCTCAGCATCGAGAAGGGCTTCTAGTGCCACCAGCCCAAACCACAGCCCCCACCGTGTCCTCTGCCCCCCCCAGTGCTGCTCGGGGAGCGCCGCATCCCCCTGTTCTCAGTAGCCCTGTAGCTTTGCCACCGACCCCTCAAAGCAGGCAGAGCCTGGTGCCAGCTCCCAGAACGGCACAATCCTGCCCCAAATCACTGGTGCGGTGTCTGGTCCCTGTGCAAGTGCAGAAGGGAGGTGTTGCTTGAGCCCAGCTGCACAGCCCAGACCCTTGATCTTCCCTTAATAGTTTATTATTATTTAATCATGGGGTATTTTAAGTCCTTGTCTAGCGGCCTGACCGCCTGAGCCAACCGCTGCTGCTGCTTTGTATTCGCCTGCCCCGCGTGCGGGAGGGGGGTGAGGAGGGTGCAGTGCCATCCCGGAGGGGCTGGAGCTGCTCCCCGGGGCTTGGGGCTGCCCCTGAGCCCTGGAAAAGCTCCATCCCCGTGGGGTGTCAGGAGGGCTGAGCGCGGGGTCCCGGCGAGCCCCTCTCCCCCTTGCATGACGCTTGGCTGCGATGTCACCGCGCGGCCCCGGGTGCCGTGTCCGTCATCTGCTGCTCTGTGACCCCGGATCCAGCACTGCTCGTGGTGCTGCTCCTCCTCCTCTAGAGATAAAACCTGCTGGAGCCAAACCTGCCTGCCTGGAGTGGTCATTGAGCGCCAAGGGGGAGGGAGGGATGGCAGGGCTGGGGGTGGGATGGGGGGGACAGTCCCTGCCAGGAAAGCCAGATGGTTTTCCCAAGCCGGATTAATGCCGGGCCAGGAGGTTTCCTGGCTTTGCACATCCTCAAAGCCTGGGAGAGTGGGACTGCGGGCAGCTTCTTGCTGTCCGGGCCACAGTAGGGGCAAGGTCAGCATCCTCTGCGGGCAGGCTTTGCAATTCCAGAGGAAAATCACTCCGTTCCCACCTTCAAAGGACGTGCCCAAGTGATTTATGGAGGCGCTGAGTGCGTTTGCTGAGGCACTTTCTCAGGGCTCCTGCCAAACGTGCCGGTCTGGCCACGCTCCGCATGTTCAGCCATTCCAGACAGCTCCATGGAGCCCCTTTCCCAGGACACTTTCCTCCTGGGGCTTCCAGCTGACGGCTGCAGCCTCCAGGACAGCACCAGCACCAGGATGCATCACAGGCTTTTGAGTCAAACATGCTGTTGTTTTGTCCTCCCCACGGAGCTGTCCCCAAGTGAAAGTTCCCCCTGATTTGCCCCCTGGCCTTCTGTGGTGGAGTGACTCCATCAGTGGACAAGGGAGGGGCTACGGAGGACATTTATATGGATTATAAAGTCATTTATCTGGATTGCTGTGAAGCCTTGGACATGGTCCCCCACAACATCCTTCTCTCTACACTGGGGAGAGAAGGATTCAATGGATGGACTGTCAGATGGACAAGGAAGTGGTTGGATGGTCCCATCCAGAGGGTCGTGGTCAGTGGCTCAGGGTCCCAGTGGACACCAGTGGGCAGTGGTGCCCTGAGGGTCTGTGCTGGGACCAGTGTTATTTAATCTGAGCATTAATGAGGAAGAGGATGGATCAGGGGCACCCTCAGCAGCTTTGCAGGTGACCCCGAGCTGAGGGTGCAGGGACACAGCTGGGGGACGGGGCCATCCAGAGGGACCTGGACAGGCTCCAGAAGTGGCCCTTGGGAATCTGCTGAGGTTTAACAAGGCCAAGGGCTGGTGCTGCACCTGGGTCGGGGCAGCCCCGGGATCACTCCAGGCTGGGGATGAGCAGATGGAGCAGCCCTGGGAGAAGGGCCCGGGGGGCTGGTGGGGGAGAGGCTGGACATGGCCCGGCCCAGAACCCCCCGTGCCCTGGGCTGATCCCCCAGCGTGGGCAGCAGGGCAGGGGGGGATTGTGCTTCTCTGCCCCTCAGGGGAGACCCCCCTGCAGAGCTGCTCCAGCCCTGGGGAACAGCACAGGGAGGACATGGAGCTGCTGGAGAGAGTCCAGAGGAGGCCCCAAGGTGGTCAGAGGATGGAGCAGCTCTGCTGGGAGGAAGGGCTGGAGAGTTGGGATTGTTCAGCCTGGAGAGGAGAAGCTCTGGGGTGACCTGATTGTGGCCTTGCAGTGGCTGAAGGAGCTGCAACAAAGATGGAGAGAGACTATTGACAAGGGCCTGGAGTGAGAGGAGAAGGGGGAATGGCTTCCCACTGCCAGAGGGCAGGGTTAGATGGGATATCAGGAAAAAATCCTTGGCTGTGGGGGTGGTGAGGCCCTGGCACAGGTTGCCCAGAGAAGCTGTGGCTGCCCCAGCCCTGGAAGTGCCCAAGGCCAGGTTGGATGGGGCTTGGAGCAACCTGGGCTAGTGGAAGGTGTCCCTGCCCATGGCAGGAGGTGGAATGAGATGAGATTTAAGGTCCCTTCCCAACCAAACCATTCCATGAGTGTATGATCCCATAATTTCAGTGCTTTCCCCTAACTGGCTCTGGAGGAAGATGATAACAATTGTCTCTCCCCTGCCAGAGCTGGAGCTGTGGAGGAATATCAGGTATTGCTGATGGAGGTGGCATTGCTGCTATTCCTGGACGAGTATCTGCTCTGGGGACCCCAGGCAGGGACCTGGACGCTCCTGGAGCTCCGTTTCCTGGGTGGGAAAAGGGCTCTTCCACCATCCCATGGGCCAGTCCCATTGGAGGAGCCCCAACCCACTCCCAAGCAGGACCCCCTTGAGCCACAGACCCCACACTGCCTCACCATCGGCCTCCCAGAGGCCCTGAGGGTGGTTTGAAGGGAAATGGTGCTGGATCCACACAGCCACTGGCATTTTCCACAACTGGGAATCATCTGCATTCGCTGCTCAATATTCCCTGCTGAGGCAGGGCAGGGTGAGAGCAGGTCACACGGAAAATCTGTCACAGCACAGCCCTGCAGCAGCCAGGTTCGGGGTGGCAATGAGGACAGGGGTGTCAGACCAGCTGCATGTTGGGGGACGGAGTCACTGCAGCCCCGACACCTCATTTCCACCCAAAAAAACCCTGGAGGGCCAAATTCCAGGGGGGAGATGGGCAGGCAGAGGCTAAGCAGGAAGGGACGTGACTGTGCTCCCAGGCTTCCCGGCACATCCAGCCCACCCTGAATTGAGGGCAGAGCAGAAATCCAGGAGCCTCCTGCAGCGGAGGGCAGGCTGCCAGAGCCAGAGGGAAGGGCAGGAGCCTCCCCCCGGGGTTTGCAGGGACACTGCGAGGAGCCGTGGGGAGCAGCCAGGGCAGCGGGAGCCCTGCACCAGCCAAGGATGACGAGCACAGCACGTAGGCAGAGCTGTGCTCCTGCCCTGGGATTCACAGCCCAACTTCCCAGGAATTGTGTCAGCGTCCTCAAGGCCGTGGCGATTGCTCCACCAGCCGCACGGCCAACGAGCCCTGACGACAAACCACGATGATGCCTTTGATCACTCTCATCCCAGAAGAGCTGGAGGGTCCAGCAGCTCCCCCGCTCCCCAACATGGACAGGCCAGGAGCCTGGGAGAGGACTTGCCCTCAGAACATCATGCACAGGGGATGATGGACAAGTCTCCCGGGCCCTGGCTGTCGAGGGAAGTCTGGGACATCATAAATCACACAACTGCAGCTGGATTTAACGCAGAAGGAAACAACTGAGGTCACTGGAGGAGTTAAAGGCATCGGAAAATACCCCCCAAGTGACGAGGGTCAAACTGTGTCCCTTCCCACCGAGGTCAGGCAAACAGGCTTGTTGGACATTCCCTGATGAGTGTTCCTTCCAGGCAGCACGGCTTGGACACTGGACAGGGACAGTGGGGACAGGGGACAGGGACAGTGCAGTGCCAGGGCCCGGCTCGTGTCCCATCTCAGGGCCATTGTCCTGCCCAGGGTGGCTCTGCACTGAGCTCTCCTCACCCTCTGCTTTGCTTCCTGCCCTCGCTGCGGCTGCAGGAAGGTTCCCCAAACCCCGTGCCCTTGGGAAGCATTGCTGGGAGCAGGATCACCATTTCAGAGGCCCAGTGGAGCGGGAATGTGAGGGATCCCAGCCCTCCTCCTGCTCGGCAGGGTTCACAATGTGCCCCGTGAACCAGAGGTAATGGAGCAGTGCCCCCAGCCACGACATACACGGCCTCGAGGGATAATTGGGTTTATTTGGTATGTCACAACAGTTTAGCTTGTATTTAACAGCTCTATAAAACCTTAGTAAATGCATTTTTATCAGTTAGAGAGCAACGCCCACCCCTGATGTCTGGGCAAAGCAGGCAGCACCGCCCAGGGCCCTTTCACTTGGATGTTTCCTTAAGCTGCTCTAATGCCTGCAGGGAATGTGGGGGTGAGAGGACAGCTGAGCATCCAGGATTTGGGAGTCATTTGTGTTGCACTGAGGCTGCTCCAAGGTTTTCTTTGGTCTGCCTGACCCCCAAAGCAGTGCTAAAGGAAGCACTGGCCGTGACCAGAGGAAGCCAGTCAGGGCTTGGAAAAGAAATTAAGAATTTGACATTGACCTTCACAACCTGCACCAGACGGTTCTTGGTGATCATCTCAGGAAATGTCTCCTTGATGGACTTCACAAAACCAAATCTTTGTGGTAGAAACTGCCTCCAGAGGCTTCAACACACCCCAGGCTGGCCGAGGGTCAGTCTGAGTGGGAGCTGCCCACGAGCGGTGACTTTTCCAGTTGCCACCCCCTTGGATCACACAGCACCTCTGGCTGCAGCCCTGCTCCTTCCTGCTTTGTTGATTTGCCTGCAGTTCCCATCCAACAGCCCCAAAGACACGGGATACAAACATGAACAGAGCCTGCTCCCCAGGCAGGAAAGCTCCGGAGAAGGAGCCAGCAGCAGCTTCCCGGCCCAGCCCCTCCCCACGGGAAGCACAGCGGGAGCACCGAGGCTTTGGCTGCAGCCAGGGCTGTGTGGGCAGGATGGCACCGTGGGGCTGGGGCTCCAGGGAGGGTTGGAATGGCCATGGGCACCCTCACTCCTCCTGCAGCTCCTTCTTCTGCAAGGCCTGGAGTCTCCTCACCACCGTCTGCTGGATGATCTCCAGCCCCTCGGCGTCCAGCTCCTTCATGAGGAGCAGGATGGCGTTCAGGACGTTGTTCTGTGGGGATAAGGCAGACACTGCTTCGTACAAGCCAGCCAGGAAATGGACACTGGATTTTCCCTGCTCTTTCTAGGAACTCCCTCACCACCACCACCACCACCGCAGCAGATGGGAGCAGCCACCTGCAGCCACAGGAGGGAACAACCGAGCCCCGGGGGCAGACGGGCAGAGGCTGTGGCACGTGAGGAGCCTGGAATGCAGGACCAACCCATCCACCCAGTCCTGCTGAGCTGCCCACACACCTCTGGCTCCCGGCCACGCTCCAGCCTGGCTTCTGTAGGGAAAGGCACTTTCAGGAGCGGCCGCCCTCCCTCTCCAGCGTGTGTAGGATGGGGAAGGACAGGAGCCCTCTGCTCTGAGGAGTGAGGAGAGCTGGTGGAATCCCTGGAAGGGACCCTCAGAGGTCCCCAGCCCAGCCCTGCCCCCGCTGCAGGAATGCTGCCAACACCAGGCCGTGGCTCTGTCAAACCACGGCTTGAAAAACTCCAGGGAGAGATTCCACAGCCTAAATAATCGTCCTTCTAGGGAGAATCTTTTCCCTCACATCCAACCTGAACCTCTCCAGCTGCAACCTGAGGCCATTTCCCCCTTCTTTAATGGTCAGAGCCTGTGGTGCTGCTCTAGGCAACCAATACGAGAGAGAAGCAGAGTGTGGTTTAGATCGATGTGATGGCACTGAGCCCAGCAGACAGCAATTCCCAGCGGAACCACCAAGATCCATGGGATTCATCCAGGGCTACACCACAGAGGGGGCTGAGGAACCACCTAAAGTTCAAGTTCAGCAGTCCCTTCCCAAGGTTTGACCCCCCTTCTTGCTAAAGAAACTCTTCCTAATATCCAGTCTGAACCTCCCTGGCACAGCTTTGGACCATTCCCACGTGTCCTATTTCTGGATTCCAGAGAGAAGACCTCACCACCTCCCTCTCCACACTCCCTCCTCAGGAAGCTGTAGAGAGGGACGAGGTGGCCCCTCAGCCTCCTTCTCTCCAAACCAGACAAACACAGAGCCCTCAGGCGCTCCTGGACACTCCTTCCAGCCCTGGCACCAGCTGTTCCCCTCTGGACACATCCAAGGGCCTTCATGTCCTCCACAGGAAAAGCAATTTGGTCTTTAAAAGACACTCACTCTCTTCTTGCGGTTGCAGTCTGTCTCTCGAGGGGAAAAGGAGGAATATTTATCCCTGGGAACAGGCTTCATATCAAGCTCCTCTCGAATTTTGCTGGAAAAAAAAGGGCAAATGTTATTATGATCAGGTGGGAGAATCTTCCTCTGGCAGGCCAATCCATCATGGGCAAACATGCAAGGAGTATCCAGCTGGAGGACTCTGGGCACGGATGGAGCTCCCAGATCAGAGAGGATCCGTCCCTGTCTCCACATGCAGCTGACACACTCAAGGCACCCAGCACAGCAGAGCCTATCTGGCAGACACAGGACCAGCCCCACTGGTGCCATTCCACAGCACAGCTCCCCACGGCACCTGGAACAACGGGAACCCCCCCGGCTGCGGGCCCGGCCCTCGGAACAGCAGGGTCCTTTCATGCCACACAGGAGTTCAGCCCAGAAATCCCAGCAGCTCCCAGGTGAGCCCTCACTTTGTCTCCTCCAGGCTGGAGCCCAGCAGTTCGCTCCCGGGCTCCATGGTGGATCCAGCGGCACTGGATTCCGTGCACTCGGCCCAGCCGTTCTCCACGTTCCTCCGGGCTGGGGGGGCCGTGATCTCCACACCATCCACCAGGGCCTGGGACAGCTCCTCCTCTGTCACTGCTGCAAAAGCCCAAACGAAAGCCTGTTGCTATGAGCTGCAGCAGCCCAGGGAGGTGTAACCCAAGGGGTTTGCTCCAGGAATTCTCCGGCATTTTGCTGTCACCCTCCTCCTGCAGTGAAACCCTTGCAGGAGGACGCTGAGAGCCATCCCCAGCCTCTCAGAGGAGGGTAACAGGGAGGGATGCAAACATGCTTTCCTATTTCTTGTCTCTGGAGAAGGCTGCAAAAGCCACCAAATCGCTGCTACCAGATAGAAAAAAAAAACAGAGAAGTTTTTCTACAACAGCAGATCCAGTTGCAGAACCTTTGTCTGGCCACAGCCCTAAAAAACCACTAATTAGTGGTACTGCCTGAGCTATAATGAGGTGCTCTTGGTTCTGCTGGTGTGGGGAAGGGATGGGGAGGGAGAGGAAGGGAAAGAAATAGAAAAAAGGGAGAAAAGAGAGAAAAGGGAAAGGGGAAAAGGGGGAAGGGGAAAGGGGAAAAGGGGGAAGGGG